ACTGCCCATGTGAGTTTTCCAAGACTCTCACTTTTTACAGGAGTAGAAAGCGTGGTCTTTCTTCCCAGGAGCAGCTGATGGTTTCGAACTGCTGACCTTGCGGTTAGCAGCCCAACACACTTAGCCACTATGCCACCAGGGCTCCTTATATGTGTATATATAAATTATATTATAGACAGATAGGGGGGAGAGAGAAAGAGAGAGACTAGCTTGTTGATGGGCGCATTCACTTTGGTTTTTGCCAAAATACAGCACTGTGTCAGCAAGCAGTAGAGATGCGATGACAGATTCTTGAGTGACTGAGGGAGGGCGGGAGGGACTGGACCAATAAATGGTCTTTGTTTAGGGCTACATGGGGATAAGCTTAGAGCTTAAAATGCGTTACCATTCAATAAAATTAAAACTTAATTCCAAGACTAATTTAATATCACTTCCTTGGCTTTAATTCTGTGTTGTAGTCATGTTCTCCTTTTGAGAGAGCCTTCCCGTTGGAACCCAGAGCGAATTGGGGCTGAGAAACCACTTGCGTCAACTCCATGGAGTGCTGTTCCAATCAGTCTGTGGAGTTGTCTGGAATGCAGTCTACAAGGCAGCGTGAGGTTGCCCTGGCATCTGAGACCTCACCTCTTCTCCCCATTGGTTTCTTTGATAATGAATGGCTCGGTGAAGGAGCTCTGGTGGCATAGTGGGCTCCCAGCTAGACTGCTAACCACAAGCTCAGCAGTTCAAATCCACCAGCTATTTTTCATGGGACAAAGATGAGACTTTCAGCTCCCCTAAAGATGTATAGCTTCGGAAACCCATGGAGGCAGTTCTGTTCTGTCCTATGATTGGAATTGACTTTGTGGCAGTCAGCCATTGATAAAGGCGAACTATTTGTTGAGTCAATAGAGGCTCGTACAAGGAGCCGTTGGAACACAAGAGGTGTTGCTGTTGTGGTTAATGGCCATCAAGTCCACTTCAACTCATGTGACCCTGTGCACAACCAAGCCAAACATTGTCTGGGCCCACACCATCTTCACAATCATCAGTAGGTTGGAGGCCATTGCCACATCTGTTGTGAGTTTGAGGGCTCATCTTCTAGAGTTCGACAATAGACTGATGTGATCTGTAGTGTTTTCCGCGGCAGCTGAGTTTTGAAGTAGCCCCCAGGCCTTTCTTCTTAGTCTGGAGGATCTGCTGGAATCTGTCCACCATGGGTGACCCTGCTGGCATTTGAAATACTGGTGGCATAGCATTACAGCACCAGGCAAGCCATCGCAGTGCCACCGACATCGCAAACTGAGAACACAAGAGGGGAGCCTGGAATGCTTTGGGGAATCAGGGAGCTCTTCACAGAATAGATACCATTTGCCCTGGGTCTTTAATGATGGATAGAAGACATGGAGGAAGGGTTATGCAGACATATGGAGTCAAGAGGACTGGAGTGTGGTTGGGAAAGATGGGAAAGTTCAGTGTCTGAGGCTAGCACAGGACTCATTCCGCTAGGAGCTAACCAAATGTGCGCGTCAGACTTCTTCTACAGCTGTTTCTTCTTAAAGCCAGGCTGGGGTGGAGGGCACGCCCAGGTCTGCCTGAGGACACGCAGATCAAAATGGACCTCTACCGTCCACATCATGCAGGCCCATTGGTGTTCCCCAAATGTCAGTCAGCTGGGTGCCTGGGGCCACAACATCCTTGAATCACAAATGTCTTGAACCCCGTGATGGGAAACCAGCCATCCTCCCTAATCTGCTCTGTTCCTCCCAGACCCCACTGGCTCGCAGTTCCTTCCCTGCCCTGTGCTAGACACCACTCTGACCCCCCACCCACCCCCAGGGTCCCCTGACACGAGCCTTCTGAGGGGCTTTTCCTACAGGTGTGAAGGTATGGGGGGTAGTTTACAACACAGGGCAGCCAGCATCTTGGAAGAACATTGGATTGGTCTCCTTTCCCACCGTTAGAAGCCTTCACGGGCCATCCTCACTCACATCCCCTGGCTGTTTGCTGGAAGTTTCTATACTTTTCTGTGCTTCTTCTGCTGCCAACTGCCCACCAACCCCCAATTCCTGAGACATTGCTCATCCAACGCAATTGGACCAGCCAAGTGTCTTCCAGGAACTGGAGAGCACATTGTCTCTTCCCTAGAAGTGACATCACTCGAAGCCTTTGTGTGGCTAGTGCAATGGTGGAGCTGGACACTTTGGGCTGCCAGCCACAAGGTCGGCAGTTTAAAAACACCAGCGCCCCATGGGAGAAAAATTGGGGCCCTCTGCTTCGATAAATAGTTCCTGTCTCGGAATACCACAGGGATAGTCCAACCCTGCCCTGTAGGGTCGCTCTGAGCCAGCATCACTAGATAACAGTGGTTACACAGAGGTTTCCACACTTCCTGCTATAGCATCCTTGAAGCCATAAGGAGACAGAGATGTAAAATTCACTCTCAAGTGTTGCCTGTGTTCTTAGTGGAATCTGGGGACTGATTTTCTTGATCAGTGTTTGGCCAAACGTAAAGATGCACCCAATCGCCCCATCTCTTCCCAAGATTGCACAACCTTCCTGTGGAACGTGTAAACAAGGCCACGCTAGCTGCAGGGGAAACTGTGACTCCCCATTAGTCAATCCCTGGGCTTGGTGTTGTCTTGTGCTCTTTGTTGTTTGAGTTTGGCAGGCGAGCTCCGGTCAGGGGACTGAAAGTTGGGCTTGGTGGTTGAAGAGACTGTGGGACGGATTTCTTAAGCTCGTGTGTGTGTGTGTGTGTGTGTGTGTGTGTGTGTGTGTGTGTGTGAATTAGGTAAGAGTTACAGAGCAGATCATCAATTTTACATTCAACCACTCATACACATTTTGCCTCGACTCATGCTCGGCAGTCCCCCTCAATGTAGCATCCCTGGTCCTACTTCTTCCCAGTGTTTCCTGTCTCCATCCCTCCTTCTTTCCCAACCCACTGAACTCTGTCCTTGGAGAAATGCTGCCTTTTGGCTCTTGGATTGGCTGAGTGTTCTAACACAGGGGTGAGTGCATTACTAGACCTAACAGGTGACTAAAGGCCACAGCCTGTCCCTAGCCTGGTCTCTTTTACCATTGTGAGTTCTCTCCCACGCTGTTCCAGGCCCTCTGATGTGACCCTTTTCAGAGTACTTGGTAGTGACAGCCAGAACAACCCTCTAGTTCTTCTGGTTTCAGGGTTAT